TATTTACTCATATAATTGTTTGTATTTTATATTTACAGAACAACAACTAAGACAAGTTAACAAGAATGATCAAATCTAATTAGGGAGAAGAAATTCCACAATTAAAAAAAGTAGGGAATTTATTATATATATTTAAAGCTCCAAAGCAGATGAAGACGGAGGCTTTGAGAGTTCACATTCAAGTAGTGCGAGTCAAAGAAGCTTCTCCACAAGAGGATGTATCTAATACAAAGTGAAATAGAAGCAAGCGTAAATAATGTTGTAAAAGGATGTCTTGCTTGAACTAGGGCCCATGGCATAATGCAATGAGAGTAAAGCTCAAAGCTGTGTGCTGGCAAATGTACATACTCTGGTTGTAGCCTGCATGGGCAATATTTCCATTTACTTCGCCTACAGGCACCATGTCGGAACTTGTTATAAAAAGGTTGCCAGGCGTGGATCTGTACGGTGTGGAAGACCAGTTCGGGCCCCTAAAGCCCTACAGCCAAATGCAGCCTGCAAAGAGCATCATATCAGGTCAACAAAACTTCTCGAAGCAACGACATGGTGTCGGCCCCTTCAAAGCTAAAATGATTAACTTGCACCTAATTTGCTTAAGAGTATATCAGCTTACCACTTGAGCAGCAAATGGTAACATCTTCTCCGGTGGCATACAGGCACAGAGAGCTAAACAAAAAAGGGAAAATGAAAGAGTCATGAACCTCACAAATGGCCTACACAATCAGTAAGTAGAAAACAAAAGGAGCAGTACTGAAACAATGGAAAAATTCATGCCATGAAATTTGCAAGTTCTCAAATTCTATAGAGAACAAACTATCTAGCTTATGAATTGCATAATTTTGCAGACCACATTTAGTTAAAGAAACTGTAAGATCAATGAAACCATGTGGTATGATCCCTGTAAAATGATACTTGTTCAGCTGTGCCAGGATCACAAAGTTTCCAATAAGGCTTCTAACATAGGATCTCAATTGTGCATCCACTAATAGACAAAACCTCACAAACTGGTGAAACTGTTGAACAAAGGCTCGTTTTGTATACAAATACAATCACCTTCAATATTAATTGACTGCATCCAGAAGATTAAGGTGATGAGTGGTAGTGATGCCACTGTTGACATAATTGTCTAGTCACACTTCACTCTTTTTTTATTCCCACACTATCAGAAAATGAAACAAGCTGACTTTTATTCCAGGTTTATTACTACTTAGGCATTTTTGGAACAATGGATTGTTAAAATCAAGACACATGTGAACCTCAAGATTAATAGGAAAGTCTTTCCTACCTATCTTTAACAATATTCAGGCACATTAAACAAAAATCTGTTTGCCGATGAATGAAGAATCGTTAGAAGACAAAAGAGAGACATATTAGGTTGAATGGTTATATGTACCATAAACTACTGCTCCAATAAATGCATCTCCTGCACCAGTTGTGTCAACAAGTTCTGATGGCGGAATCTTCTCAGCTGTTCCCACAAACAACCGTCCAGTCACTGTCCCTATCC